TTTTTGACAGGCAATGACAGGTGTTACAGGAATTTTCCTTTGATCAACCCACACCCTCCTCATAGAGTGAGCTCGCTATTCTCCCATGTGGGACTGCACAGAAGCCACAAAGCTGAAAACCTGATTGCTTTTACCTATAACTGCTGTCCATTGAGTGGTCTTCTGGGCAAGCACACATCCCTCCCTCCTTTCCTCGCTGCACGGAGGCAAAGGGAACTGAGGGAAGGAGTGCTCACCCTGCCTCTGTCATGTGACCCTTTGGGCGGGAAAAGGGATCTCTGTAGACAGAGGGGAGGCGAGCACTCCAGAGCCTAGAAGCTCCTTCAGAAAAGGTTGGACGCTCCTCTCCGCAGCTGGCCTGCAATCATGCAGTCCCATGTGTCCCTGCACAGCAGACCACTCGATGAACAGCGGTTACAGGTAAGGGCAACCCTGTTTTACTACTATTTAATAAGTTGCATTAAACATAGTGCAATTCAGTAGAAACAGATGAGGCATTTTAACAAGTCAAGTTGGCATTTCAGGAGTTAACAGAAACCTACGCTACTTAGCAAAATAAAACCAGAGCTGAGATTACAAACAAGGACAGATGTAGAAGGCCAGGTTTCCTCTGGTTCATTTTCCCATTTCCTGCCTGCAGCCTGCAGCAATAGAGGAAGCTAAGTGCTAACGAGAACTAGAAGCTAACAATGCCCTACGTCATTCAGCTCAGAAAATAAAAAAAGAGCTGCTAGACAGTTGAGATCCAGAGCTGATAAATGAATGTCCGTCTGTGCACTAGTATCAGTATGTTCTTTAGGCTGTCTGAAAAAGAGAGGCACATCTGAAGAGGAAACTTGTATCAGCAAAAAGATCATTTTCCTTAGAGAGATTAACGAACTTGTGTACACTGTTAAACTGGTAGGCTTTTCAAGTAGCCTGATGACAAATAAATTAATTCCATGTTCTTTTAGTGAACATTTTCCTCATTTAGGCAGATTTATTAGTTATATTTGCCTAATTGACAGTCATAAGGCATTCAGTTTATGATGTTTGTATTCTTCCCTGATACAGTTTTCCTTCAGATGAGACATTTCCTTTGTTATGATGTAATGGTAAATCACCTCATGTCATTTGGGGGACTTTAAGCCAAGACACTGGTGGGAGAGGTGAAGAAAGTTGTTTGTTGTTGTTTCTGACATAAAATGTTTAGCCTCTCAAAAATTTAAAAGGCGTAGAAGTACAAAAATTCACACCATCTAAGTCAGATGTTGAGTCTGTGTGGAAGCAATTAAGCATCTCTTAGAAATTAACTACATGTAGTTCTTATTTTTGTCTTGCGTGATCTTTTACGGTCATTTACATCAAGTACCCATGTCTGTTTCTCCTTTTCTTTAGAATTAGATGGTGCAGTGAATGTGATCAGCAGGTGCCTGGAGATGGTGATGAGATAGGTAGGCGTTAATGAATTGATGCTTATTCCAGGTGAAGGTGCATACGGATTTTATTCAGACTGGGATGATGGCGTTATGCCTGAGAGAGATGGGGTAGTGTTTCCCTTAAAAGATCAGGTTTGATACTGCTTTTGGACTGGATTTAGCTTTGAAGTTTTTGTTTCTACAGAGTTTTGTCAACCCAATGAACAAGACACTAAATTCTGAGAAACAGGAGACAAAAACAAACAACATTCAGAATTCCACTGTTGAAGTATCTATGCAGCCACACAAAATTATTTAATGCTGCTTCTTTTGTAATAAGTATTTGGAACTGATTTTTTTAATGGATTAAATGTGTTCCAGAAGCCAATTTGATTCTTCTGTTCTTAGCAGTTCAGAAAAATACTACAAATACATGCCTTTGGGCGGTCTTTCTCTTGGAGTGGCACTGTACTGTAATGGTTAATTAGGAGATTTGTGTCTTGAGACCTCCACTCTGCCGCGAAATTTACGTGGCCCAGTCACTCACACAGCCTAGCCTACAGGATTGTTGTGAGTTTAAAATCTGGAGATGTAACTTCTTCAGTCCCCTGAACTCCTTGTGCAGTAGGCAGAATGCAAATAAACAGTTCTTGTACAATATGATGGTGCCTTTACGCACTGTAGAAACTAAAAGTTAAAACTATCTCAGTTGCATTGCTTGCCAAAATATGTAATTGTTTAATGTCTGCTTAAATGAATGTACAAACATGATGGATTTTAAGTGATTTTTGCTTTGAAAGAATCTATTAGCAAAATGTCAAATGCACTTCTTTATATAGTAATCCTTAGTTTATATTGCACAAAAAAGAAATTTATCTGGAAGCTCTCAAAATATGCATAAAATATTATGTAATGAAGTGTGTGTTCTGCTTTTACTAGTGCCAAAATACACATATAGTTGAGCCTAAATATACATTTTGCACTAATTTATACAGTCTTCCTCACAAGTCTGGAATGGCTGCCCATGAACCTATGCCTGGCCAAATAGTATACTGTTAATGCACTGCACAGATGTTCACACGGCACTCACTGTTTCTTAGGTTAGAATACTTAAGTGGGATTTTCTCAATTTTGAAAGAGACTGATGTTTTCTGTAATAAAACAGTTCTATGAAGGATGGAGTCAGGCTTTGATGGTGCTGTGTTAGATTGGCACTTTGAGGCAGTGATGAGCCAGGAAGTCAGTTGTTCAGAATCTGTTTTTCCAGTGTAACATTGACCCCAAGTTGGTTGGAAGTTGATGGTGTTCTGTGTGTAGGTACTACAGAGCAGGAAAACTATAATAAGGTCAGGACATCTTCTGATACATAACTTCCTCTGCTCCACTAGAGGTAAAACAGGAATAGAGGTAACCCACCTCACAGAGTAGTTCTTGGAACAAATAAGGAAAAGGTTATCAAGTATTTTAAAGGTACTTCAAAAATGATTCATAGAGGTGAGCAAAGAGTTAGTGGTATACAAAGTTTGCATTGGCCTTCTACAAGGTAATTGCTGTGTCTTTAAATCAAATGTATGAAACTCTTCAAGAAGTATATGAATTTTGGTAATCTTTCCCTTACAATATGACTTGCATGCCTTTAATCATGTCACACTATTGAACAAGATTCTGTAGTAAGCAAACATAACATTTGTAAAAGTTCGAGTTTATAAGCCCTTATAAGATTGCATATGAAAGCTGTAGGAGTGACTTAGAGTACACTAAATTCTCCTAGGATTTTGCAGAAAAGAAGCTAAAAAATCTCTAACAAAAAGAGTTGCTTATTCAGAGTCTCAAAAGCTGTGTGCCCTCTAGTGGTAGTTCCACAAAATGATCCAGTTAAACCTTCCGATATTTCAAAGACACAACTAGAAGAACTTGCGTTTTAGGCAGATGAAAACCCAGATTGTTTAATGTGTCTCCCTGGGCAGATGGTATTCTTATGTTAAATGCTGATTTTAAGCACTTTCCTGGTAGAAAGGTAGTTTTATAAAAAGTGAAAATAATAATAGTTACTCATTTCTGACTCTCATAAACAGTATTGTTATCAGTAGGCATTAGGCATTAACGAGTTGTAGGCCCGCAAGGAGTTCTGGGAGAGGGGTCAGTTCGGAAATACCCTCCATCTCTCTCCAGGATACTCTTAAACTATCAAGGTCTTATTTTGCTACAACAGATCAACATGGCTGTACCTCTGAAACAAATGGTGAACCAGAAATGAGACAGTGCAGAATCTTGGTTACAAAAAGTGTTATATGAAACAATTCTGATATATGAAAGATAATTATTATGCTATCTTTACTTAGAAACAAATTCCTTTGATGCTTATGCCACTGTGTGTTTTATTGTTATTTTTTTATCAAGAAGCAGATCAAGATCAAGAAGCAGAAACATTAAAATACAAGAAAACCTGCATCCAAAGGCAGAACACATTTAAAATGGTTTTGTTTTTACTGGATGAGGGGGAGGGGGCAGTGAAACAGCTCCATGTAGCTATTTGCAGATTTTAAGCAAAACCTGCATTACATAGCACAACATATAATAAGATTCAGTTCTAAAGTACTGAAGCCAAGATAATTCTCAGATGTATAATGTATTTTTCGTTGGATGCAATTCTCAAAGTTTGAAAACAAAGGGGTTTTTTAAAAAGTAATCGGCTTTGCAACTAATCAAGTTCCAAGGAGAAATACCTTAAATACTAGCACAGAGATGCTAATGGAGCAAGGGCATTGCTCCAATGACAGTAATAAACAAAATAATGATAAAATGTGAGATAAAATTTGCCACAACCCAATATGGGGATAAGCATACATATGCTCATTGATTTGAGAGCAGCAGTACATGAAGAAGGTGGGTGGTTGGAAATGCTGACAGTTTGCAAGCAATCTTTCACTTTTTTTACAAAGTGCTTTTTATATGCAAGAGGAACTTTAAAAAAATACGGTCTGCAATGTGTCAGGGATGCTGCATTATGTGCTTTCTCCCCCTGGAGCGAATTAAAGAAAAGTTACAGAATGAAATGAATGAAACCCTCCAGAATTGCATCAGAATGCTGACCATAGCTGAGACTAAACAATATTCAAGTTAAGGAGTCTCTTCAAGTGTACTCTTTATGATTATAAATATATTGATTATAGTGTGTCTCCACTCCAATATTCCAGGTAAGTATGGTTTCCTTAGTGAAAAAAGATCAACAGTGAGATGGGTTAAAAACAGCAGCAGAGTGGAAAAAGTCCTTGGTCATTTCTTATTCTATCAAAAGGACAGTTTCTCATTACTTTTCATGAAATGATCCTGTTTTTTCCCCACTCTAAAATTTTATAATATGCAATTTTTAGAATTAGTAATTAGCACATTTACTACATGTTTATGTATAGGGAGACTGTATTATAACTTTTTGTGCATGTTCAGTGTCACTTCAATTCATATTTAGATTTATTTTCTAAATATGTCACAAAGATCCTACAAGAATGTTGTGTCTGAAACGAACCCATCTCCAGCAAACATGCAGATCATCTTCTCTCTCTCTTCCCCCCTCCTTGGCCACCTTTTATTGGTTCTCTGTAGGCATGGAGAGTGCAATCACGTTGTGGCAGTTCCTGTTGCAGTTGCTTCTCGACCAGAAACACGAACACCTGATTTGCTGGACGTCCAACGATGGTGAATTCAAGCTACTTAAGGCAGAAGAAGTGGCTAAGCTGTGGGGACTACGAAAAAATAAGACTAACATGAATTACGACAAACTGAGCAGAGCACTGAGATACTACTATGACAAGGTAAATTTTGTTAACTCCAGTAACATTTAACAAAACAAACTAGTCCTTTGAATGAAGATGTTTGGGCTTTGCTATAAAGTTAGGTAAAGGTAAAGGTTCCCTTGCTCGAAAGCCAGTCGAATCCGACTCTAGGGTTGCGGTGCTCATCTCCATTTCAAAGCCGAAGAGCCAGCGCTGTCCGAAAACGTTTCTGTGGTCATGTGGCCGGCATGACTAAACACCAAGGCGCACGGAACGCTGTTAGCTTCCCACTGAAGTGGTACCTATTTATCTACTTGCAATTTCTTGCTTTCGAACTGCTAGGTTGGCAGGAGCTGGAACTAGAGACAGGAGCTCACTCCGTCATGCGGCAACTTGGGTCTCGAACTGCTGAACTACTGACCTTCCACAGCCTGCAGTTCAGCGTCTTAACCACTTGAGCCACCGCAGCTCCCTGCTATAAAGTTACTAAATCACTTATTGAAATGTTTCAATCGTTAAGGGTCCTTTCCCAAGGGAAATGGAGGTGAAATTTAATAATTTGGTGTCTAGGGCATTAGCACTGTTGTTCCATGTAGCATTTCCCCAGTCAAAGCCCACTGTAACCAACAGGCTTAAATTGGAATAACGCACACAGGACTGAATTGTTAGCAACTGAAACTGGTGTGGTGCCAGTCTCCCTCTTGATAGGTACCAACACTCCAGCAGATAGCATGCTAAGGCCTGTCCTTGTTGAAATAGAGTGCTGCAATTGTTCTCCCTTCATATAACTCCCCAGTTGTTTAGTTTAATAATGCATTCGGGGCTGTGTCCAGTTTTTATTGTAACTTATATATCATCTGTTTTTATTCTGCTTTAGTTGTGTTCTCTAAGGTGCCTCCAGAGCCTTCTAGGCTGATAATTGCAAAATATACTTTTTTTAAAAAAAAAGTGAAGGAAGTTGAAAGGTAGTTATCCTAGTCATCTCTTAAAATACCACAATTTAGGCTGATCAAGGAAAAAATAGCAGTGAATATATACTTTATAGTGCAGTCCTAAGCAGAGTTATAGCTTTCTAAGTCCATGGGCTAAGAAGGGTATAACTCTGCTTAGGATTGCAATGTCACTCATTGCCACAAGAATTGGTGATGGTAATTAGATATCTACAAAAAGAATTAGCAAATTCATGGAGGATAGCCTCATCAACCTACTTGGTATGTATATAAAATGTAAGACTACAAATGCCAATATGTTATCAAAACAGTAATTACAAATATACCTTAGTGCCTAAAAGTATTTATTGCCAAACTGGACCTAGAATGTTGCCGATGTTTATTACAATGAGAAGACATGTAGTTGTGCTCATGAGATTTTTTACTGATCTGATAGTAGATAAAATGTGGTATTCATGCATATCTTGGGATTCGGAAGGTTTTTTTAAAAAAAAAAAAGGAAAAGGAGGAACAAAGGGGAAGAAAATGACAGTTTTCTGTGAGGAGGAGTTGGTAATCATATTGCATATATTATATACTTTGTCAAAACTTGGATTTCTTACATCTGGCTTGGTTTTTTTGTGTAGAATATCATCAAGAAGGTTATCGGGCAAAAGTTTGTGTACAAGTTCGTCTCATTCCCTGAGATTTTAAAGATGGATCCTCATGCTGTGGAAATCAGCAGAGAGAGCCTTTTGCTGCAGGACAGCGACTGCAAGATACCTCTGGAGAGCAGAGAACACCACAAGCATAATTTGTCGGCCCTGAAAAGCACGAGCCGCAATGAATATATCCATTCAGGCCTGTACTCATCTTTCACCATCAACTCCCTGCAAAATCAGGCAGATTCTCTCAAGCCAATCAAAACAGAAAAGCTGGAGGAGAAACTGGAAGGGACCACTCCTCTGGAAGAAGTCCGAACTGTTATAAGATTTGTGACAAACAAAACAGACAAGCAAGTGATGAGGCCCATAGTGTCATTGCCATCAACATCCGAAGCAGCGGCTGCTTCTGCTTTTCTAGCATCTTCCGTCTCTGCCAAAATCTCATCTTTAATGTTGCCCAATGCAGCCAGCATTTCTTCAGCTTCACCCTCTTCCTCCCGGTCACCGTCTCTGTCACCTCATTCCCCCCTTCCCTCAGAACACAGAAGCCTCTTTCTGGAGTCCAGTTGCCAGGACTCTGATTCTCTTGAGCCACTGAACCTCTCTTCAGGATCCAAGACAAAATCTCCTTCTCTTCCCCCAAAGGCTAAGAAACCCAAAGGTTTGGAGATCTCAGCACCTCCGATGGTTCTTTCAAGCACTGACCTTGGCTCCATTGCCCTCAATAGCCCCGCACTTCCTTCAGGATCTTTGACTCCAGCTTTCTTTACTGCCCAGGTAAGACTTGGACACCTTGAATGATGGTTTCGAATTCTCCACATTCTACACCTCTTGGGAGTTGTGAGCTATGAAACAGTTGTTGGGGTGGTCTGCACACAGTTTATTATTTATTTATTTATTTGATTTATACCCCGCCCTCCCCGCTGAAGCAGGCTCAGTTCAGTACTATATGCATGCATGTGTGTGTGTGTAAGGGGAAACGCCTTGAAAGAATAAGGGCAGCAGTCAGAATGCACTGCAGTGTCCTTACTTTTAGTAATATAAAATAAATTAATTATTGCAGGGGTAATTTCGTAGAAAAAGAGGTGCAGGAGCTCATTAGCATAACTCATTAGCATAACTTATTTGTATATGCCACACCCCCTGACATCACCGGAAGTGTGTCAGAAGGCAACACCCACCGCTCAGGCTCCACGGGACTGTTCTGGGTTGTTGGGTCTGGGGGGGGGGGGGGAACGTGCAGATCTGTCCTCGCAGAGGAGGGAGAGCTTGTACCTGAACAAAACTTGTTCTTAAAGGTGCCACTGGACTGTTTTGGACTGGGGCCCGGGGGGGGGCTCTGCAACTTACCTGGCTGCTTCTTGCTCTGACTGAGGGCGGCTGGGAGCAGGGGGCGGGGCTTGTTGCATGTTCCCGCCCCCTGGGCTCTTTACTGCCGGAGCTCCACTCCTGTGCGCTCCTGCAGGAAATGACCCCTGAATTACTGTTGCCAGAAGGGTTGTGAAGGTTAACAGGAAACACAGCTGGGGTAGACATTAGCACCATTTGTTAAAGCTTGTTTCAGGATATCCAGAAACACCAAGAAAAAAAACACAAGTAGTTTGTGGTTGTACCCATTTACAAAAGGTGACCTTTTCATTAGCTTTAAAAGAAGATGACGACGTGATTGGATTTATACCATACCCTTCACGTGGAGTCTCAGAGCAGCTTACAAACTCCTTTCTCTTCCCTTCCCCACACCAGACACCCTGTGAGGTAGGTGGGGCTGAGAGAACTCTTTCAAGAATTGCTCTTTCAAGAACAGCTCTGACAGAACTGTGGCTTGCCCAAGGTCATCCAGCAGCTGCAAGTGGAGAAGTGGGGAATCAAACCCGGTTCTCCCAGATTAGAGTCCGCACACTTAACCACTGCACCAAACTGGCTTGATCTCATCAATTTCAGAGGCTTTGAAGATTTATAAAATACTTGCTGTGCAGTTCTTTCTGTGCAGGCATTTTTCATTATATAAAATGGATTTTAACTGTCTAGAGTTCAACAAGAAGCAACTGAAGTTAGAGTTCATTACTGAAGAAATTTAGTAGTCACATCTTTTGTTCATGGAGGAAGAGCTGCATTTGATTAAATGTGTATGACATCCTTGCTAATTTATTTGTCGTTAATAGTGTAAAGATAAAAGAAGAGGATTTCAGAAAACAATATGAAAAAGAGCCATTGCAAAATAAAATTAAACAAATATGGGTGACAACTGGCTTTCATTGGTTTGTGAGTGGTTATGTTTAACCGACTTGGCCACTTTCCAGACAGGCTGTATTTTTTGTGGTGACTTGGAGAAATCTGATCTCAGGTAAACGGTACTACAGGCACTTTACTGTAATTGTTCAAAACTTGTCTTAAACACAGAGCTTGCTTCAAGAGGTCATGGATGTTTCCATGAGAGGGTCATTCCACTGGACCTTCACACATACCCACGAGTAGTGATAAGACTATTCTCCACTACCAGTACATTGTAATAGCCAAGTCAGCTAAATATGAGGATACTTGAATCTGGTGATCTTTCTATAAACTTGAAAAATGCCCCAGGTTTGCAGAAAAATCTGAAATCTTAAAAAAAAACCACTGGGGAGGGTTAAAAATAGCCAAAATGATAAAAGGTGCACCTGTAGCTTTAACAAACAGAAGCCCTCAGTGGCTGTTGCTAGGCAACTGCTACATTCTAGTTTCAGTTTTTGTCAGTTTTTGTCAGTAAAAGGCAGGAGGGTGGGGGGAGGGCTGTTTCCAGGGCTGTTTTGGCCTTTGCAGGAAGATTCATTGGGCCAGCCCTAGCAGCAACAACCAGGCTGTCTGCTACTACCTTACATGACTCACCTAGGCTGTTCAACAGCATCCACGCTATGAAAGCCAGTGTGGTGTGGTGGGAGACCCAGGTTCAGATCACCAGTCTGCCATGGAAGCTCACTAGGTATGTAAAACCAGTCACATAGTTTTGGCCTAAGCTACTTCACAGGGTTGTAGTGAAGATAAAGGAGAAGAGGAGATAGGGTTGCCAGCTTCCAGGGGATGGCTGGAGATTTTCTAGTACTACAACTGCTCTCCAAGTGACAGAGACAAAATGGCTGCTTCGGAACATGGACTGCATGGCATTATCCTCTTTCCCAAGTCTGAAGTCCTTCCCTTCTCCAAACCCCACCCTTCCCAGCCTCTACCTCCAAAATCTCCAGGAATTTCCCAACTCAGAGCTGGCTGCCATAGAGTAGAATGAGGTAAGGTGCCTTGGCCCCCACTGTGGAGAAAGATGGGATATAAATAAAGAAAATAAATAGTAAATATAGCTGAAGATGGGAGGCAGGGAAACGGTAGAGGATATGGGAGTTGCCAGAAGGAGGGGGAAAGGAAATAATGTAGGGAGGGGGATACAGGGGAAAGTGATGTGCTCCCCCACAAGTCCTTGAGGGTTCCCTGCCATGCAAGTGGGCCTGGCCCAGCAGCCAGAGCCACACAACTGGGCCTGAGTTTTCAGAGATGGAAGCTGCAGTGGGGGCAAATAAAGGTATGTTGGCTTTTGAGTGGAAAGGAAAGGAAGGAGGAGGAGGAGGAGGAGGAGGAGGAGATTGGATTTATACCCCGCCCTTCACTTGGAGTCTCAGAGCGGCTTACAAACTCCTTTCCCTTTCCCTCCCCACAACAGACACCCTGTGAGGTGGGTGGGGCTGAGAGAGCTCTGACACAAACTGCTCTTTTTCAAGGACAGCTGTGCCAAAGCTTGTGACTGACCCAAGGTCACATCAGCAGGTGCAAGTGGAGGAGTGGGGAATCAAACCTGGTTCTCCCAGATTAGAGCCCGCACACTTAACCACTACACCAGGACAGACCTCCTCTTCCCGTATACGCCTCGAAGAGCTTTACGCTCTAATAACCAACATCTCCTGGTGGTCCTTGGCCCAAAAGACGTCTGTTTAGCCTCGACCAGGGCCAAGGCCTTCTCTGCCCTGGCCCCCACCTGGTGGAACATGCTCCCTGTTGAGATCAGGGCCGTGTGGGATCTTACTCAGTTCCGCAGGGCCTGCAAGATGGAGCTGTTCCACCAGGCAGGTTGAGGCAGTGGGCGTCCACATATGGCCTCCCCAAGTTTGCTGTCTCCCCAAGTCTCCCCAAGTTTGCTGGCCACTCATCTATTGGCAACCAGCCATATCCGTCTGTATTAATGGGTTGGAACTTTCACCAGTAACTATAACTACTGATTTTAAATGTTTATATTGTGCTTTTAAACCATATTGTATTGTTGAAAGATGATGTGACCCACCCTGAGCCTGCTCGTGGGATGGGCAGGATACAAATACAATAAATAAATAAATAAATAAAGCAAGCGGGAAAATGCGAGAGGCTATGGGGGCTTTCAGGGACGGAAAGAGGAAATAGTGGGGGAGGGGGAAATTAGATGCTCCCTGCAAGTCCTTTTGGGTTCCCATTTGTATTAACATATTTTAAATGTGTGTATCGGAGAAACTGTAATTTAAAAAGTATTCATAATAGGAGAATATGTAATGCTGGAATACGCTACTTGTAATTTATTAATGCAAGGAATGAAGAAAACAGAACACTGGTGCTGTGGGAATAAATTTTATTCACTCTGTGTACCCCAACATGTTTTATTCAGTGCTTCCTCGGGGATCTGCACCACTTCGAAGTATCAGCTTAGCTGACTGGGAATAACACTGTTTTGTTTTCTTCATTCTTTGGCTTCATTGGTGTTGAATACGAGACTCAACGCAGCTTGTGAACAGTGAATCAGCTTTTATTTACAAGTCAGAAGAAATCAAGAACGAGACAAACATACAGAGCAACAGGCTCTCTTTTAAACAGTCCGGGCTTGGGTAGCCACGCCCACAAGTCAGATATTAACCAATCACTTTTTACAGATAAGTTCCAATCAGAGTGCTTCCCTCCATAACATTGTGCTGCTCTGATTGGTGGACTTACAATCCTGTCCAGAACAGAAGCTCATCACAGAACTTAATACATAACAATTGGTGTGTCCCTTCTTCTTCTTGCTAATTTATTAATGCAGAAATATAGTTTAACCCATCCCTAAGGAGCAGGTATCAGCCAGGGATTAGGATGAAGACTAACAAAATCACCCAACTTTCCTGTCCAAATGGATAATAGAACTAGTTAGTAAGTACAAAGAACACAAAACTGATAGGCAGCCCAATTTTAAAAGAACCTTTCCTTTCATTTTCAGAGCTCCTATGATCAGATGATCTTGAGCAATGACTAAAAGAATAATACATTATTTACTACAGGAAAATATGTTAGACAGAAATTTGGTGACAAAGTAGGTTAAGTTCGAGTCACTGTCTAGCGTCAGATAGGGAATATTATTCCCTTGGAGTTAGGGTTAGGTGAGACCCAGCAGTTCTTGAAAGCAGCAAAAAAAATGACATTTCAATATTTTGTGAGACAGAGTATCAGTTTTACTGCGACGATATGCCTCGTCTGATGACCAACAACACTCAGTCGTTGTTTATGAAACAGCTTTATTCCGTAGAAGGAGACACCAAGAGCGGAGAGCAAAGAACAACATCACACACCTGAAAGTCGGCTGACCCTCAGCATTCTAACCAGTTAAATACGTCACATAGAATGGAAAGCCAACCACCTAAAGATACACACACACATCACAATTCGTAATACTTCGGATGGGATGGCATTAAGGTGAACTAAAGCGAATTCCCTAACAAGGTGGGGGGCTGTTAGGTGTCTCATGTATAATGACAGAG